CCCGACACGACCCGTCACCGATCAGGTCAACGACGGACCAGCACCACGACCGGTTCGATGGGGCGGCTCCTCGGACCGAGGACGTGGCTTGCGGCACCAGCGAGGTTCAAGGACCCCCGGTCGGTCGAGTCCCCCGAAAAAGGTACCTGAGGTGACGGCTGAGGAAAGGGTCCTAGTTCAGCTCACTTCACCTCTCTTGGCGGGTGGGATCCAGCTGAGTTTCCGATGAAACTCATGTGAAGCGTCGCCCACGTCGTCGCAGGGCCCATCGAAGCGTGCGTCTATTCAGGTGCTTTTGGATCTTGCATTCTACTGGCTGCTGACCATTGGCTATACATGAATCATGAAGTACAGAAATCACACGTAATTGATCTTTCCTTGGCCAATGGGAGTCGAACATGAATTCTTAAACCCACACCTTTCCGCACCTCAAGAGGTGCGTCCCTGAAAAAAGACACTTCCTCGCATGTGCATGCGCCGCATTGCGCCGCCAGGTGACAGGTATCCACGTCCGGGGTGACCAGTAGGGTTCCGGCGTCAAGACGCCCAAAAAAAGACCTCCGATCCGCGGAGTGTCCGGCGTCAAGCAGCTCACCGATTTTGTTCAGAAGTGGGACGGCAGAACAGGGGGTGAGATGGGGTGGAGATCTGAGGGAGAAGGTCTCAATTGGGTGGGTGATCCAAGTTGTCTGTACCCAAACCAGGAGTTCCATGTCGGAATGGTTTTGGGTCCCCAAGTGAGTGGATCATTGATCTCAATGTTGTTTCTTAGCAAAATTTAGCTCTAGGTGCCTTTGAGAAACAACATGGCAAGTTCTCAAGTGAGCCAACGCGGGCACTATATAGCTTTCTTCCGTTCCAGCACACCTGGAACTCCAAAGCATCCCCTGACCAACGAGGAGTGACTGACGTGGCGATGAACACGCTCTTGGAAAGAACACCCCCAACGTGTGAACATTCAAAACACATCAACTGATGACGCCAAGGTGAGGGTGACCCGAAATCGACATTAATACCAGCACCTTCAAAGGGGTCACCAATGGAAGCCCCTACACCACTAAGGGAGCTCCATTGGACACCCCTTGAAGGTCCAGGTATGTTGTTCTTTTCCAACGCTTGGTCCGTCGATGCACATCCCGAAATCGGGGTCTGCTCAGCTTCATCGGACGAAGGACCGTGAGTGTACAAAGATCACCGGCAGAATTCCATCAACGGACTTGTGCACGTGTTGTTCAGCTTCATCTGACCCTTCAGTCTCAATCGGAGAAAGGTTGTAATGAACAGTTGGCTTCTTGCGCCGCTTTCCACCCCTACCAGCAAGGAACACTTGAAAATACCACCACCGAGCTTGCAGGGGTGAGTATCGTGGAATTGGTTGTTTCATCCTATGAGGAAGACGCAAGCCATCACGATCAGTACGTGGATTGTTCAGGTCCCATGACTCCAGTCTTTTGATTTGGATGTGCCAAACTGCCAAACAGTTCCAGGAGTGCCTCGCCTATCATCAGCCTTGCCTATCCCATTTTCGAAAACCACACATCGATCGCTTGTTTGGTGCCACGGAGCTAGAGCTCAGGACCAAAGAGAGGGCCATGAGGATGGACGTGGCCATGTGGCGAAAAAGCTTCGGATAGACGTACTCCACTCTGGCAGTGGCCTAGAGCGGAGTACCCGTGTGCGTCCGCAGGAAAAACACGGGGAGCGCCAGCGTTTTCAGCAGCGCAGCAGGCGGTTTCCACGAAGGCGGTCGACAGCGAACCGAGAACCGGTGCAAATGCTCCTTCGGTTCGCTTCCGAACCTGTTCAGCAGCCGAGCGAGTCGTCAACGGATCAACCGTTAGCTTACAGTTGCATGACCGTTGTCGTTGTTGTGGGCCACTTCTTTCGGGAGATCTCTGAGAGGTCAACCCTTCATGCACCACCGGCCTTCACCAGCGGAGCGGGACACCCACCCGCAGGCCCCCCTTCCTCTAGAAGGAAGTACACCCCTGCTATTCGGACCGCATGGAACCCCCAAACTCACTTGGTTGGTATTTGGAAAAGGGTCGAACCATGTCGAAACCTTTCTTCTCAGGTTTCCATGTGGTCCATTTGGTGGGGGGAGGGTATCAGTTTTCTGACTCCACGGTGGAGCTGTTTTTCCACCACCTCGCTCGCCCTGCCCTCCGCGTGCCTCAGTGGCTGCGAACAGACCTGTGAAGAAGATCCAGCTCCACACGACGCCCGGATGTCTCGTTGACAAGAGGTACGTGAGCAGAATACCTCCTGCCAAATTGGGAGTAGGCGATGGACCTTCTTTCGGGGTGTCCTGGCTGGAGGTCCCAAACAGTGGTGGGCTGGGGCGAAACCAGCCAGGTGACCCCGACATGAAGGTGCTGAGTAGGCGATGTATCCCCTGTGAGCGTCTACTTGCCTTTGTCGGCACCGGCTCTATCAGCCACAAGCTTTTCTCAGGGCCTGTTTTCATGGGGAAAGTGGGTCTCTTATAATTAGGAACATGGCAGGTGACATGTATGATACAGGTATGTACCGGCTGACTTACATTGGCACCCTTCCAACCATCGTCCACCCAACAGGGAAAACCTGTTGCTATGTATTACCCGATTATTACCCATTTCATTGAACGCAGAGTGAGGTGTGAAACAAATTCTACGGGTGAGCATGAATCATCACATAATATCACATAATCACATTTGAAGGACACACGTACTGCATACTCGACAGAGTTTCCTGCTTGGTGAATCACAACCCTGAAGTCCGTAGCCATAAAGGACATTTGAGCCAACTCAGCAAGTCCTGCAAGATAGAGTTGTGCCACACACCTCACACACGCCACAAGTAGAGATCTGGCCAGCGCAGTGTAGCCTGAAGATCAGGCTTGCACATTGGTCGAGGAACTGCGCTCACTTGCTTGGATTACAAAAACCATTGTCCCTAGGCATGGAAGAACAACGAAGACCAAGATTTTCCAGTGCCAGACACTCTCTCCTTTTGTCTGAAAGAATCTCTTCAGAGTTGATGTTCAAAGCTTCTCCTAAAGTTGCCTGGACCTGCGCATGGCTGACGTTTCACACACACACACACAACTGGTCTCAACTGGACTCAACTGGTCTCCCAACACCCGCGAAACCCGTGGGACCCGACCTTGGAGTGCTAGGCTCAGCATGCCCAGCGACACCAAGGTGCCCGCTAAGGCCACGTTCTGCACGCCCAGGGGCAGACTCCGCACGGCGCGGCGGAAGCGCGTGCGCGTGTTCCGGCGCGAGGAGGAGGAGGAAGAGCAAAGGGCACGGGTTCCCTCCGCCTCGAAGGTGAGTGAAAGGGGAAAAGACTGGAAAAAGCTACTGCTTCAGGAAAAGAGCTGAGGGTCTGCTGGTAGATCTGTGAACTTGTTCTTCGCAAGTTGAACTTCTTCTTCTTCTTCTTCTCTGACAGGTGTTTCTTTCCCGTTGAGCTGGGTGGATTGAAGTGCGAAAGGATGTTTGACAATCATCGTTTTCCAGCGGTGTGGCCCTCTCAGCCTCCAAGGGAAGAGGCTGTCGACAGCTGGTGTCATTGTCAGAAGTACTCTTACCGCCAAAACCGTACCGGTCTCACCTAAAGAAACCCTTTATTACTACATATTACTACAAACAGATCAAATCTGACAGCGACAAAACCAATCAGAATCAGCCCAAGCAAACCCTACACATACATACATATCATTCATTGAAGAGCTGCACATCAGATCGATCCACCTTCTCTTTCAGTACCTCTATTCAAGAAGCAGTGCAGATTTTCCAGATTGATTGTATTCATAGTATGTCCGTCTCTATAATCTTTATATAGAGTATGCAAACTTCGAAAAGAGCGTTGAGCCAACTCACCAGCGAGGCACCACTTGTTGAGCCGTCCATTGAGACGTCGGAAAGCCTGACCCGGAGACGGCGACGGCGAGCCGCCATCGCTGCATGGTTCCTCTGGACAGTTCATCTGGCACCAGGAAAGCTGCCCAATCCGTGACCGTGCAACAAACCTTGGCGGAGCCGAGCACCGATCAGACTGGGCCAGACTGGGCCAGGAGCTGTGCCAGCCACAGTGTCGCCCACAGGTCTGCAAACAATGAGGACAAGAACCTCTCTAGACTAGAGACGCTACAAAAACATATACTAATAGTTATTAGGTGAAACGATTCACATCCAAATCCAAGAGAAACATTGCACCAAACACATCCAAAAAAACAGTCCAAAGACTTGCTTGTCAAATGCCCAGCACAAGAATGACTGCGACGCATGGGCGTACAGCGGACCATCGGTTGGGTCGGCACATGGCTCAAACCCCACCGTGCACGGTCACGCCCACGATCGTCGCTTGTTGGAGCTTGGGCCAGGCCCGCGCGATCGTCAATCGTGGCGATCGGTGGGCTCGCATGACTCATGTTGGACAGATGATGCATCCGATAGTCAATATGTGCTTGTCATAGGATTCAACAACGAGTTCTTGTCACACTTGTATTTGTTCTCGGTGAAAGTGAAGCTAGAAGATGTGATGACCATCTGGATGAATGAAGACCGGTCAATGCGCCCCAAATGGATCCCAAAGGTGATTTTTCTAGAATCAACCCGCCGAAAAGATTGATTTGACCGCAAATTACATTGAAACGACAAAACTGCTATGTAGGAGGCAATGCAAGGACACGAGGCAATGAGTGAACACCAACAAGGCTTTGTGGTTGAAGCTAGTTGAACAACATAGTTGCTTCCAACTGCTTTCAACTTTCAATGTCCAAAACGTCTTCAAGCCCATCTGGATGCTTTCCCGCTAGAGTCTATATATTCTGTCCACCTGGTGCGGATCGGACCATTTAGAGGAATGTGTGTCGAAGTTTGCCTCCAACCTTTCAGCGAAGCTGAATCTCCTGTCAGACACATTGTTCTCCTAAGACACACATTGTCGATTTGAATGTTCTCCTCGTGCTCACGTGCTCACTTAAGCTGAATCTCAATTTTTCTCAAAGACACATTGTTCTCCTTAAGCACGTCGAGGATCTCCTCGTCAAAATTTGCAGACCGCTCTCTCACTTTGACGTCCATCACTGACCAAACGGAGACCGTCTGTCACATGGCTCCTTTCCGTTACGAGTTCCAGGGCAAAGTAAGCTGGGATGCCCCGAAGCACAAGCTGTAGGAGTATATCCCCATTCGTGGGTACAAGTACCTCTTTCTGTTGCCAAGTGCCGCTTCAAGGGTACTTTCGAAAGTGCACACCAAGTCGTCTTTTCTCTTCATATTCCGAAGAAAGCCCCAACTCCTGATCAGTTGCCAAGCTATTCCCACTTTCGGGGAAGAGCGTAGAAGAACGGGAGCGAGGGGTACAATCCCTGAAATGATCCTCAAAAAGCATCGATGGCATGACCACTTGGATGACCATGAAATCCGAATATCAAACAGTGACAGGGCGGTGTTCACTCCACGTAACCATGATGTTTTTCAGGGAGAGTGTCGTGTTTTTTCCGCAGCTTGACCCAAAGCCTACGATGCCTCACTGGCTTGTTGTCGTGGTCCGCTGCCAAAGGCCGGCGCGAAACATGTGACGCAAGGTCGAGCGGGCCAAGACAGAGACGAAGAGGTAGATACGACGAAGACATCGACATGGAATCCAGGCTTGGCATGGCCCGGAAACGAGGTGCCATTTTCCGAAGATCCAAATAGGTGGGTTTGTTCCGTTTTCCATATCGCCATGTTGGTGAGTCATATTCTCCATATTCCATTTTCCATGTTGGTTGGTGCCCTTTTCCATGTAGAGGACTGGAGGGTGCGCACCCAGGGCTCAACTGTCTCAGGCGACGACTTAGGCAGAATTGGGCGCGAAAACCACGTACAAATCAATAGACGTCCTTTTCATCAACCGAAAGTAGAAGTTTCTCGAATGGATTGTCTTTTAAAACTCAATAGTATCCATTTTTTTAAAATCAACCAATCTTTCTTAGATTTTTTTGAACATCAATTTTTGATCACTTGGGTATACCCATCCACCGTCAACCGTCGACTTCTGCTCAATGCAGGCCGTGGCGGCCGCGGTCGCGTGGGCCGTCCTCCAAGGTGGACGGTGCATTCAGGAGAGGCACGTCGTCGATGGTGAGGGCTGCGAGCGGCTGTCGCAAGGAGCGACGCCAAATGACCTCGTCGTGGTTCGCCGATGGATGGGCCGTGCCACGGATGGACGTCTTCCTGGGAAGAGGACCGTCTGACATACACGAAGAAAGAGCCTGGGAATTGGGGGATTTGGTGGGTCATGGCACCAGGATACAGGTCCCTGTAACCTATCCACCGGAGAAGTGGGTTTGGACTGGTACATGTTGGACGGGGGTAGGCTCCAGGTGGGTCACGAAGAATCTCCACTTCTTGGTCAAATATCCAGGTTATCGACGTGTTGGACAAGAAGACGACCATCAAGTGTTCGGTCATACGCTTTCCCCGGACCGGGCAAAGCCCGGAGACGGCGACGGAAGCGTTCCAGACGGCCCGGAGATCGAACCCACATCAACCCCGAAAGAACACACACGGAAGTTGGGTTGCAACTCAGAAAAAAAAAACAGGAACCCTGTCACATCAACCCTTGACCTTTCAGTTGCCCAAGATCCTCTCACTGAGATTCCCCACATCCACTGGGCAGCCCAAACGTGGAGCCTGGATGTCACGAACAGTGGCGACTCGTTTCGTGTCATGAACGCAGCCCGTGGCGAGTTGAGCGGATCTTCGAGGGCTTCGAGGTCCTGCTGAGCAGAGAACTGCCGCAAGCAGGAACTGATTGGGTTGTCGAAACAGAAGGTGGTTCACAGATATAGACCTTTCTCTACATTCTACATACTTACATTGTATCCAAGCTTAGCAGGTTGTCCTATTGTCAATGATTGACGTCGTGAGTCGCACTCACCGAACGACTAGTCGATCGCCACGAACACTCACCGATAGCACGAGGCGTCCCGCTCACCGAGGCGTCGGTCGGTGAAGGCAGGCAGCAAGATCCAAAAACCAATCATGCAGGAAGTAGGCCTGTTCCTGAGCTTTCGAAAAAAGACATCCCATGTTCTAGTCCTCACACCATGTTGTCCTCGATCCAATATCATTTAGCTCGATCCACTCGAACTGAAGACAGCAGCCCGCTGGAACGAGCACACTCCGAATAGATGATGGGCCAACGTGGCATGGCCCCGAATTCGAAGACCAAACATGTGATGAACTCCACTTCCATGACTGACTGGTGCTTAGTAGGGAATAAGGGAAGTTTCGCCCCCAATAGAGATTCTATTGGATCCATTCCCTCATTCCCTGCTAAGCACCAGTCAGATGATGATTTTAAGGAGTGCAATCAGCGTCTCTCCCCGTCATGGGCTCGGACGTTCTCCGGCAGAGTCTACACTCCTTTGTGGACCGACTCCTCTGTCGGGCCGACGCCGGGAGGTGGCCGACACGCCAATCAGGTGGTCAGGATTTTTGTTGTTCTCCAAGTCTTCTTTACCCTACACCGAACACGTCGTACCTCCTCAGGTTCGGTATGACTGGACCCTCCTGGCACCCACCCCAAACCCCTTCTCAGGTTCGGTACGACTGGAGGCCTAGGGTTAACGGGCTTTCTTGAAGTTTGTGGGGGTGGTAGTTGTATCTATTCCAAAAACCCTCTGAGTGGTTGGTCATCCAGGGAAGCGTCTAGGTGCTTGGTGTCAGTGGCCTTTTTGCGTGAACAGAAGTAACAGTAGACCAAACAATTGCATCCCTTCAAGCAATGTACACGGTAGTTGTTTGTATATGTGTGGAATCACCAACACGAACCCATGTATCTAAGCTGACAATTCTGTTGGACCAACGTCTCCAACGCCTCCAACGTGAACCCTATGTCTCCGGCGCGCCAGGACCGGAGGACTGTCACTCTTCCGGATGCATTGCCCGACTCGTTCCGACGTTTGAATCGCCGCGCGGCCAAGAGAAGGGCCAGCAAAAGCATGAGAATCCACAGCGTGCCCGAACGGCGCATGGCATAGATCACCGCGCTGCACCCCAGGAAAAGACCTGAGAAGGGAACCCCTCCGGGCGCTTCAAGGTGTTCGTCATTGGCCTCAAAGATTTGAGACCAACATGGGCGAAACTGGCAATTTGTTTTCATCTCGTTGTGATTTTTGTGAGCCCGCAAAGAACAGCTTCATCGAGCCCGATGCACTTCTGAGAGGTTTTTCTGCCATTTCATTCCGAGGCCCTGTGACATTGCCCTGTGTGAAAATAGTACAAGGCGGGGCAGCCTTCTTGGCTTGAAGACTGAGGGTTCCGAGCGAGAAGCTTCTCTCCTGCCATGGGCACGGAAGGTGTCCCTGATCAACGTGGTGGTCTATTCCAAAAAGGCATTGGGATTAGAGCAAGGAATTCTGAAGGATTAATCATAAGGTGTACCTTGGTTCTTTCTGCCAGCACTTTCAATCGAGATCATTTCCAACAATCTAAGCGTTGGGATTTGGCAAGGGCTTGGAGAAGGGAAGTCACGGTTTCCATGCAGTGTCACCACTGGATGACTCTTCCAGTTAATATCACCCGTTTCTGCAGTGTCCTTCAAAGAGTAAGGCTATGTCAGGGCCATGTCTGTTTTCACCTCAGAATTTTCCCAGTCCCAGGACCAGTCACTCGAAACATTTCTGACCACAGTTGCAGGGATTACGTAGGTCAGAATCTGACGTAGGTCAGCTTTCTCACCTTCGCTTTGGAGTCCCATGCTCCATGAAACGGCACGCCGGACCGCCCATCACGTTCCACCCAGGACCAGGTCGCCCATCAGCGCGCGCCGTGCCGATGGCGAGGCGGCCGCGGCGGTGGCGATGCCCTTGACGGTATTCATGGGGCGTCGGTCGTTTTGCTCAGCGGAGTGACGCTGCGGTCGATATTGGTTCTTACAGTGTTTGGAAGATCGACTAGGAGCGTCATGTGGGACTCGTTTGCTATAGTGTTTGGACAAGGGAACGTTTTACAGTTTATAATTAGCTGATAGCCTATATAAACGTTCACTGGTCCAAACTTGATTCGTTGCAATGTGGGATGAACACGAAGCAAAGAAGTCGAAACCTCAGCCAGTCCGAGCAAGTTTGGAGGACTTACCTTTGCAAACATGGATCGCTTGGAATTGTTGGGAGGGGGTGAGGAAATTATATAGATGAATGAGGATAACCATATAATGAAGTCTGGCTTGTCCCTTCAAAGCTTATCCACCAGGAAATTGTGCCCCAAGAGCCTTGAGACAGGCGACGTTGATATCGCAAACTATATCGCAGACTAGGATGTGTCCAAAATGTGAGAAACTGTTTGAAGGAACATCGACATGGAGACAGCGTCCTTTTGCAGATTGGACATGCATATCCTTCTAGAATGCTCTTTTGATCAGCTGGTTCAAGTGTCAGCCAAATGGCTTCCATGCAACACAACACATACACAAACATGCGGCCAGGCTGAAGTCTAGGCTGCTTCGAACCCCCGTATATATTGTGGGAACACACCATCGACACATGGCTACTGACGACCTGTAGTCTGGAGCTGCCTGGCTACTATCATAAGCAGCACATCAACCCTTCTTCTTCCAGCCATCGAAAGCTCTCGGCATGCTTTCTGGCCAGGGTGTCTTGCAAAAGGTACACACCACAGGGGGCGAGATTGGAGAACCAAACATGCTTCCTCGCAGCATCTCCATCATACCATGCCAATCAAATGTCCACAGGAACTTTGACAGGAATAGGTGTGCCTGGGATAAGACCCCTCTAGGGCTTCACCCGGACACCAAAAGACGCATGACACCACAGACTCAATGTAATGGATCTCGCATCATCTCACGGACATATGTCACCATCACACCAATACCAATGAGAGAATTTTCTGCTTGGTTCGCCCTGGTGACCGAGCTCTTTGCAAAGCTTCAACGTGACGAACGTTACATATATAACGTGACTAAACCACTGGGCTGTGTCCTGGGCGCTCATCTTCAGATATCAAACGTTTTCACAGGCCCCCCCAAGCCGTGACTGCGCCGCGCGCCTCCTTCCGGAATCCTCAGTGGTGCCAGCTGGCTACCGGTTTCCCCGGCGATGCGGTGAAACACCTACTCCCCCCAAAACCGGCTCCCCATGGGTCTGGCCTCTTGACCGATCGGGCCAGGAATACTTGACCTATTTTAGAGAGCCCACAACCCTGCGGGCCTCCTTTCAACTGAGCGAAGGTGTCGAACGTTTCAGTTCCAACGACGGGTTTGAATTCGGAATTCTCCGGAATCTCGGGAGAGCCCGACGATGACATGGAAACAGACCCATCGATTGAGTGAATCACCGTCGTGTCGTCTGCAAACTTAGGCACGGTTATCTTTCGGAACTTGATGCAACACAAACGTCGCTCAGTTTCCTGTTCAGGTGAACCTTTTACACGTATTGCAAGATGGGCAGAAAAGCTTTGTACTGATCACATCTGATCACTGACTTGGGTCAAAACACCGAGGCCTTCTGTAAACCTTTTGGGAGCTTGCCAGGGCGGTTGTCTGGGCTCTCTCACAAGGGGCCAAGGGCCATACCTTTGTGTGTGGCGTCCCAGTTTATAGTCCCAGCCTATTTGCAGGCAAACCGTCTGTAACTGACCCAACCTATAGCGTGACGAGACCAAGCAAGACGACGCAGTGCGAAAACCTTCAGTATGACGAGAGCCTGTCTCCGCGCCGCACAGGTCAAGTCGGGCACAGGTCGGGTGGACGTGAGGTACACGAGCGTCTGCACCCACGTGGGTCATGGACCCCTTGAACCACATCCCCACGAACCTGCCCACCAGGAGAACAAACCCTCCTTGGTCCACTTGACCACATCACCATCCACAAAGCAAATTGCTGCACGGTCGAAGAGAATGTGAATTACCACAACCGCACGAGCCACGCAGCGAACAAAGAAACACCTCTCCAATGATATCTTTTTGCCATGCTAGGCACCAAACACCTATCGGTTGTTCAGGACCAGGGTATGCCCTCCGCATAGGCCAACCAACCAAGGGCATTAGTTAAAAAACACGTGTATAAATATATGTTTCAAGCACTCTTTGCCCTGCGATGATCGAAATCCTTAATCTAAAGAGGCCAGCCAGACCTTAAGGCATCCCCTCTGTTCAACCAACCGCCTGTCGACCATCTCAGGACCCCCGACCAAGGAGTAGGTTCTGCACGTGGACCGCTAGGGCCCTCGTGGGGGCACTGCTGGGTGTCATCCTTAAGGCCAGGTCCTTGACCTCGCCCGTGGCACGCAAGTCGACATAAAGGTGGAGCATGGTCGAAGGGAATCACTGTAGCTGCTGGGTTGATGGGTGGGTGGAAATTCTTTCGTCTGCGCTGAAGCTGCTGCGTTGCTTCATGGAGATGAATACGATGGGCTATTGTGGTTTTTGCTACTTGGAGAGACTTTCGAGAGAACCATGTACTTGACAGATTGGAACACTTGCTAACTCTGACCCGTGAACGGACTAAGTCAGGACACCGATCCACTTGGCCTGGAACGTTCTCAAATACCGCACCACTTGCACTTGTACGTATTCCTGCTGCGACCCCCACATCGGGAATGAATTCTGGTTACATTTCCAGCTCAAGAACACACTAAAGGGTTTATCGAGCTCTAGCTAGCCAGCGAATCAGCAGAATATTCAAACACGTTTCCATCTCTCCCGATCTGCCCGCCTGCAGCTGGACATCTAAGCTGGGCAGCAAGGCTTCGCTACGCTTGGGCGATGGTGGGGGCACCTCGTTTGCACCATCAGCAGGTTGCTGGTGAGTATGGCGTGTGAAGCAAAGTCACGAGTTCCACATGACATTGCACACCGTCAGAGCTTGCGCGCTGGGAAAGTCATGAACATTTCACTACTGAGCACCAAGATTGGTGGAAGGCGCTCAAGGTAACGGAAACTCAGCCAAAAGATGATACATGCAAACACCACAAGCAAGCTGAGAATGATGGCTTGTAAACACATCTAATCACGCATGCCGAATGTATCTACATGCCATATACTGAAATATAAATAGCGCCAATGAATCGAATGGTGGAAGTCAGCTTCACCGACCGTAGGGATGTGACACGGTGCCTTTAACCCACTTCCCGCCATCAGCCCCAATCTCCCAGCACCCGCCTGACCAGTGGGAACGCCACCAGGGGAGACCGGGGACAACCTCGGCGTCATGGGTCAACTGGAGAACCTCGTTGCAGGACCGAACCTTGTACTTGTTCCCGCCCTGCGTTGTGCATCCAAGACCAGCAAACAAACCCCTGTGCCTTTTCTGCGAACATTTGGCACTTCAGGATGGGTATCTTCCCACATCTTACCCACATCTGCTATGTTCCAGAGTGCATGACCTGTTTTCTCTCCAGCAAACTCTCCCATGCATGTGGGACACATGCCCCCCTGGAGACAACGAGACACGCAACAAATCTGCTGGAACTCAGTTTGAGTTCGTGTAACCCACTTCCTGTAACAATGGCCGGAGCGAGACCTCAACAAGATCCACATGCTCAAGCAACTGCCGCGCCACAGTGCTGTTCCCACGATCCGTGCTGTGGCTGGAATCCACGCCCTTCAGCGCCACCAGGAGCAGCTTCTGCAAAATGGCTCGTTGCCAGGGGCGGTTCTGGGCCAACAAGGCTTTCGGGAGCTGAGCCTGGCAGGTCTGAAGCAGCCCCAAGGTACACTCCAGCAATATCCGGTCTTCCTCGTTCACCAAGCATCGAAGCAGCTCCGGCAAAAGACCATGTTGCAAAGCGATGGGGCGGATCGTTGGGACCTTCATCAAAGACTCCAGGCAAAACAAACACGTCTGCAGTTCGATGGAGTTGCTCTTCTCTTGGTCATGTAATTCGGAAATCAAGAGAGGGATGCAGCCATGCTCACAAGCCGTTTGTGCATATTCAGCAGGCCGCTCATGGTTCAGAAGCAAGAACCACAAGGCAGATGCAGCTGCGTTCTTCATATCGAAATCACAATGCCCCAAAAAGTCTACAAGCAGTGGAATCGCGATCTTGAGCCTTTCAGGGCAGCTTTCTGAAAGCCAATAAATGGCATTCACGGCTGCCAGCCTGTTTTCATGGCATCCAGATTCTGTGACCGAAATGATGGCTGGCACTGCAGTGCTGTTACCAATTTCTAATGGGTCACAGTGCCAATCACAGGCGGTGTGAATCGCTTCAAGAGCCACTTTCTGAACCGTCGGCAATGCATTGTGGACCAGGTCTGACAACACTTGGCTGGCCGTCACCTACAGGGGAGGTCAAGCCCCTGCAGTTGTGGAGGAACAGCTGCTACAACAGCCCCATACGCACAAAATGAAACAAACTAGGGAACACTAAGCATCCTCAAGTACATTGACATTTGAATACGGACACATCAAGCAATCATGAACCATACAAACATATGCAATCATATTGATTTGGTAGTGTTACTATTCATGCGCTAGGCGCTATCTATCTTCTCCAGGATGTTTTTCGCAGCCAGTAGCACTAGGAGCTATGTTGGTTCCTGGACAGGGTGTGCTTTCGCCATGTTGCAGCTAGACCTGGACAGTCAAACGTATCTCAGATCTCAGGCTTCCAGCAGACTGCAGAACATCATCCCATTGGGCGGAACCAACTGCTCATGTTGGGAAGAACAGTGAGAAGCTGGAAGTCAACTGAGTTGAGCAAAACAAGGAGGGAAACACGTTTCCAACACAATGGCACATACAGAGCAAACACATCCAAACACTAAAACAAACACAAGCAAAAACCCGCATGGACCCGCGAATGTCTCAGCCAAGATCTCTGGACACACAGCGCACCACAGCGCACCAAACACAAGCTGCTTGGGTGCCGGAGCCTTACAATGATTCGAAGCACCATATCCACACCCATGTTCAACCCACCTGCCTTCACCTGCCCGAGTACCTCTAGATCTGAATCTGATTCGATCAAGTTGGAGATCACAAAGGCCGTTGCCAGTGGGGCCACCATGGCTGCTTCCCGCAAGCCTGACACCAAAAAGCGCATCAGGTAGCCACGTTCGTCCTGACAGCCAGGCGGGGCCAATGATTTTAACCGCCAACACTTGGTATGTTTGACCATCCTGTTTGGGTGTTCAATGGTGTCCTGGCTGCAACAAACCCTGCACATTTGACATAGACATTCTCATCATTCCCCAAACAGGACATCCGTTCAACCCCCAAAAGGTTTTGATCCCATTCCCTCTAACAGGCCGTTACACTTACCGTAAAACTCCCCTAGTGACCACGTTGGGGAAGAAAAATACACACCCAAATATGTTTGACGCATCCACAACCTGCGGAACCTGGTCATGAGTCCTGACTTCCCGCCAAGACTCCTGCGAGAGGTCCTGAAGCTTGCAGTGCGGACCCCAAAGAGCTTCCAAACGTGGCCTCATGTGGCCACAAGGATTTCTATAAATTTCTTCAAGAAAACAGAAAAAAGGGAAGAACACCTACAAGCAATGGCCTCCAACCTACTAGCGATGGCCTCCACCTGTTTTTTTTCATAAGTTCTTCTGAAGAAACATCATAGAGAATTCCTGAAGTTCGACTCCGCAGCAAGACATGGTCAGACATGACTCCGAAGCACCAAGTCGCCAAGGCAAGGCTCGATAACGTCCGTTCACGGTGGCCAATCTTGTGAGATCCACGACAGAGAGTTGTGAGGCAAAGGCTTCGAAGTAGATCTCGTTGGCCACCTTCGATCTCGTCGGTTTTTGACGACGACTTCACCAACGTCAACGTCGGAATCGGGATGAAGCAATGGATTTGACCACTTGGTGTGGACGAAAAACAATGCTGCACGAAGACATTTATATAGACACCTTGTTTTGCCTAAACTATCCTTAACTAAAAAGATGCGTCCCACGAACACATTAATTTTGACGTGTGTGTATAGACGCGCGGATTGGTGGCTGGATTCGACCACTTGGTGTGGTTCCCCAAACACCAAGTCAGGAACACATCTCACGGACGCCTGTCCTCCAGCAGTCACAAAGGGGTGCGATCCATGGAGGTTAGGGGTGCCCATTATCCACTCACTTCAGGACTAAACACTACCCCGTCTTGTGACTCCTGGTTGTTTTGCCCTTTTTAAGTTAGAAATCATGATCCAGTCGTGCCTTCTCAGAAGGTGGGACTGGGGCGGGTGCCAGGAGGGTCCAGGTGCCTTCTGAGGTTCGGTACGACTGGATCCCTACAAATGGGGGTAGTCCCCACGTCCATGGCCTCCTAAGGGGATTTACTCACTCTGAGACCTTTTTAGCAAAACATGTGAATACTGGAGCATCTCAACCCAAATCACTTGGTCGATTGGATAGTTGCTTATGTTGCTTCTTCCCACTGGTCACCGTCCAGGTCGCTGCCGTCGGGCTCACTTGACATTGACATGGGCAGGTTGACCAAGGTCTTTAGGACTGCACTTGGCATGCGCAGTCATGGTCATTTTTGGACATTGACATGGGCAGTCACAACAAGTCCAGTCCGGACCTGTTTCTGCCACCGAACATGGTGGACCTAGGCCAACTTGACATCGGCACGACATGAAAACACCGTACTCCAGTTTCACCCTGACCCAAGCAAACCACCAACAACAACAACAGCAACAACAACACCATATATCCTTACAAGGCTACTAGAGTTCGTTACTGGCTAGATCTATATAATATGATATACAACATATATTTTTGCAGAGTTTTAGATCAATCATCAAATCCAACTGTCCAGCGTCCGAGCTGCTGTCGACAAAATGTCAGCACGCAGTGGCTCCGATGTTTTCGTTCGAAGACGCTTCTCAGAGATCCACATCGAAGCATGGCGAGATGTCGGGAGCATGGCGAGAACACCCCGCGGGCCGATCAACAAGAGCAAGAAAACAAACAACTTGTATGTTCTTGAATCCTTTTGGGATACTATTGGGTGGAGGCCATCGCTACGAGTAGCAAGAGGATACGAACGTAGCTTGTTTGGATTTAGCTTGTAACGTTTTGGTTGCATTTTCTATCATTTTCTCCGTTAAAAGTCCTGATCAAGTTCTAAGACATGTTCTCCGTCAGACTGTGCAGCAAATGAAGGTAATTGACAGAAACAGGTTGAACATTGCTATTTGTTCGGCTTTGATCGATTTACCAATCAATGACGTTCCTGATCATTTCGCACCGCTTCTGAGCCTGTGTGCGCGCCATTTTCAAGAGTGTTCCAATCAAGACACCTCCAATTTGGGAGCACATCTGAAAAAATTGTGCCGACACGTCAGACATATGGCATAGTCATTCCGACACATAGTCATCTGGCTATATCCTTTCACCTGTGACCATGCCAGACACGTCTGACGTGTCCGCCTTGACCGACCGGCCGTGCTTTCACCGTGCGCCGCGCCGGTCATCTCGTAGCTCCACGGAGGTCACCCCAGAAGCGCCTGGGGCGAGGGACGCATGGGGACGACTGGCCGAGACACCTGAGACACCTGGTGTGTCAGACACCTGGTGGTGCCACAATGTGGCACCGCTCATATAGATGGAATAGTCTTCCTGGCCTGTTTGGGACACAGCACCCATTAGAAGCACCGTCAGCACCGTCAGCATCCGACAGCCCCTGTTGGCGCACTTCGCAGGCACAGCATCAACGGTGGAACATCCGCAGCCGCCACACCTGGCCATCGCACACCGCGCACCGGTCACGGCGAGCGAGCCGTGTCCACAAGATCTTCACAATGTGAGCATCTCCCAGCAGTTCCATGTCGGAATGGGTTTTGGTTCCCATGTCAGTGGAGAATGGGCACCCCTTATCATCCATCATTTGGAACTGCTGGTAGATGTTTTTGTCTATTTAAGATGATCTACCTGGAGTCTCAAAGAATGAGTACAGTCCGTACAGTCCTGTCTTTTTTGGATCATGCATGTCATATCCCAACTCTTTTTTGCGGTGCTTGAGGTCTCGTGAGGTCGGGTACCTACATTTTGGCGGTTCTTCGATTTGGGACCACGTCTGGGTGTGTGTTAGAATCGGGAGATCGACCTTCACACCCTCGACGCTTTCATTGGTTTCTTTCTAGATACTTTAATTTATCAGTTGTATTTATGTTGCTCAGACCCTAAGAAATCTATTTGTTGATATGCTTTCTACAAACAAGAACGCCCCCAATTCCTCGTTTCGATTATCACCGGGTCGGCCGCTAAGCTCCAAGTGATCCCTTTTGTTCTTTCGCTGAAAAGGGCTGGACGACAGAAACATCCCTCCACCGAAGCCCGGTTGGAGCCCATCGCTTCGAGGTTTCAGGCCGCTCTTAACGGACAAACACACAGCGACGGGTCCCCCGTTGTCCTCCGGCCTGGAGCCACCGGCGGCTGCCAGTACCTGGATCCAATCGCTCCATGTAGCTCCAAGCAAAAGCCACAACGGTTTCAGCTGGTCGGTGGTTTCAGCCCACGAAACAAGAAAATGACACCATTGGTCAGAACGAACGATCAATCGTCCCAAGTAACTGGTGGAACATCATTGAAGCATCCAAATCTCTGAAACCATCACCCACGCATCGCTACTATAAGAGCAAGAACGCTACGATCGGGGCTCCTGGCATCGCGAACCGAACGGAGCAAAGGACGCTACGAACGGGGCTCCTGGCCGTAGCTACTAGTAGCGATCGGACGCTACGAACGGGGCTCCTTGCATCCTCCGACCCCCCAGAGTGATGAGTCGGAAAAAAAAAGATGAATCGCGCACCGATCACTGTCTTCGGCCAAGGTGACATCGATGTGCCACTCTCCATCCTGCCACCGGGTTTCGATCGCTCCAAGAACGGTGGCGAGCAGGGGACGACCGAGGCTTTGGAGAGCCGAGAGCCAGTGGTTGGCCCACACTCATATGTAAGGGCTCTTTTTGTCCGATCTCGCACTGTTGCAACCAAACCACCTGCACCACCGGCTTGGTGTCCCAGGCGATCCTCGCACTTGTGGCGATTCGAAAGGTGGATCTTTTGGGATGGACAACCAGACCGTCTGGAGTCTGGACCCCGTTAAATCGGACCCGTATTCTGAAGGAGAATTCGTGGACCTGACATGACCTGACTCGTGTTTCTGGCGCCATGTTCCTAAGCAGAACCGCAACAAACAATCAAATACCCTCAAATACCGAAAGACCATCTGTCTTGGGTGCCCTGTCTAGAGAAAACCCTAAGCAGCGTAGGGTAGGGACGGTCCTGGTTGAGAGAGCAAACGGAATTTCCAACGCCCTGTTTCTTCCTGCACCATTTTGGTGGCGAATCATCCAAAGTTCCCTTCCACAAGAATCAGCGGGACATCCGAAAGGAGCTGCATGTATTGACATGGTTCGAAGCCTTAGGGGCTCCTGGCATCGCTACTTAGGAGCAAGGACGCTAGTAGGGGCTCCTGGCCGTACTACTAGGAAGCTACTAGGAACAAGAAGCAACTAGGGGCTCCCGCCCCCAGAACCCAACCTCACCGCCTCACCGCTTTCTCTCTTCCGATTCGACCGCCCGGCCTCGGTCTCATCTTCCAGGGCTTCGGGGTCCAAGGAGAGCCGCGCGTAGACGACCTACAAAGACTGATAGGAGGCCCACAACAAGAAGCTACCAGGAGCAAAGGGCATCGCTACTAGGAGCAAGGACACTACTAGGAGCAAGGGGCATCGCTACTAGGAGCAAGGACGCTACTAG